GTGGACAAAGTCTAGGCACCGAGTAAGGTCTCGTTTGGGAACATGCTAATTTAGTAACTTTTTGACTATTTGGCTAAAAAGGTAGGTAAAAAAAACTTATTTGTTTGGGATGACTTTTTAGTTAATTACGAAAAGATGTGCAAAAAGTAGAGAGAAAACAGAATTTTTGACTTTTTGGTATGAGTTATTGACTTTTTGACTAAAATGATAATTTTTTAACTTTTTAACTAAAAAGGTAAGTCCCCAAACGGGACTAAGTATGTGCATAAATAGATTATAGGGCGCACCACACACGTGTGTACGATGTATAAGCATGGGGATTTTGATATGGTCGATCTAAGGTTTGTTTGTTTATCGTGGAATGGTTGGATTGACACGTGGACAAAAGCTAATCATAGGGAGGGCACGTCAGAGCCGGGTCAAAGCTGAGGAGACGCTGACTTGGGGAAGGGAAAGTGGTAAGCTCTTAGTAACAAAAATGTTAGAGATCCTAAAAATTTTATTAAAAATTTTATCAAATGTGGGATTCATATGGGATCTAGTCCCACATCCATGTAAGACATTTGATAAAATTTTTAATAGAATATTTGAGATCTCTAGCATTACCCCCGAGTAAAGATCACCTCCTCTTGGAGAAGTTAATGATTGGTCATGCGGCACCGTTTAATCGTATTATAATTATAGAGAACTAACGTAATACCCGTGCGATGTACGGTAATAAAATAATTAATAAGTAATTTTAAAATTAAAATTAAACAGTAAACAAATAAAATTAATTAAATTTTAATTATTTTTTATCATAATTTCGCTTTTTTTTTCTCTCTCCTATTATTAATGTTATGTTTTAAGTTCTAAATAATAATAACATGAATAATAATGTAATTAGTAAAAATTAAACAAAAATTATGGTAAACTATAAAATTACACTTTTTAATTTCTATTTTTTAGAATAAAAATTACACCTATGATAAAATATAAATACATTATTATTTTTTAAGGGTTTCATAATTTTAATTTGCCATATATTAGATGATATCGTAAACTATGTAAAACTTAATAATCATTATTATTATTATTTACTAATTATATTTCTTTAGTATGCCATATAATAGTAATAGTAATAATAATTTTTTTTGAAACTCAACCTAGCGAAATTTGTTTAAATCAAAAAATTGAATAAAAAAATGAAAATGACAAATAATGAATTATTAGTAACCCTTATCCTCTCTTTTTTTTTTTTTTTTTTTCTAAAATCAACATTTACCTATCAAGTAAAACTTTTAAATTTTCTTACAATCGCTAGTTCTGGCATCTCACATTGATCCTTTTCTTATTATTCTCTCTCACCTAACTTTGCTTAATGGATTTTCACAACACGGGTGTAATTTTTTAAAATTATTTTATAAACCATAATACTCGTGCTATGCACGGGTTTAAATCAATAATTTTGAAATTAAATAATAACATAAAATTTATTTATAAGAAATAAACAAACTATGGTAGAATGTATTTTTAAGAAAGTGCAATAAAATTACAAAACTTATTTTTACAATGAAATATAAATGCATTTTGTCTTATAAGTTTTGCAATTTTGTGTCAGAGATAGCCTAATCATATAATAAATTAAGCGGTAACCCGTGCGATGCACGGAAAAATAGATTATTTATATTTTATGTGATAAATAAATCATCTTAATCTTAAATTATATCTTAATAGCGACAAACCATGATATTAAGCCATCTGGGTAGATGTTAACAATAATTAATCCACAAAATTTCACAATAAAATTTGATATGCATAAGAAATTATTAATTATAAAAACTATTGAGAATAATAGTATCATAATCACTTAATAACATAAATAACCTTTTTTTTATCAGCAAAAAGAAATATTTATTGATGCAACAAACACAGTATAAAATATTACATCAATAAGGAGAGCTTGGAGCTAAACAGAAGCTCCCAGCGCCAGTTGGTGAGGAACCAACAACAGAAAGCAAGAAAAAAGACAAACAGATAGAGAGCTAGACTACGTCTTCGAACTAAGAGACCAAACAAATGACTATCCAGCAAGGAAGCAGAATTCAACCAGCAGGCCAAATCCCAAACAGTTCAGCCCAAAAACCACCTAAATACCTCATGATCTGTACAATAAAGCATCCTTCCCATAAATAAACAATCCTCCATAGCAGACCAAAAACCTCCCACACTACCTATCAAATCCCAACACTACACACCTGCAACCTACAACACAGCAACAGAACAACATAAAGCATAACAGCATACACCAATCCACCGCAACATAGCAAAACACCAGTACAGTATAGCTTAACAGCACACAATCTGAGTAATACACCATACCAGCCCAGCATACAACATACACCCAAGCAGCAAAATAGCAAAACAGTAGTATACCAAGTAGCAAAATAGCAAAACACCAGTACAACATGCACCAATCCTCAAAGCATAACAGCATACAATCTGGGTAATACACCATACCAGCCTAGCAAACCTCTCAAGCCCCACCAAAAAAACAGTAGTGCAACATACACCCAGCAACAAAGCCTAACAGCACACCACAGATCAGTACACCAAACCAACACACCCTCCCCTCACTTGCCTCAGATTAAGCACAAAATCCTGAACTGAAAAATTAAACTCACTGAAAGCTAGCTTTAACCAAAATGCAATCCTATATTTAATTAAGTCACAAAGGTCCTTCGCATTTGGAATAGTTTTTTCTGAATACACAATCATTCCTGCACTTCCACAAAAACTGGGGGTGATCAACTCTAGTGCTTCCATTGCTTGCGTGTTTTGTGGCAGTGATACTGAATCAGTGACTCATGTCTTAATTTGGTGTCCTTTGGTGTGGAGGGTTTGGGCTGAAATGTTGGGTTGGTGGGATATCCAAACTGCTATTCCAGGATCTGTGGAGTGTTTACTGTTATGGTGGGCAGGGGAGAAGTTAAAGAAGAAAGAAAGGAAGATCTGGAGGGTAATTCCATTGGCTGTGATGTGGTAAACACCAAATTAATAACATAAATAACTTGTATCAAACTAAACAAAACATTAAAAGAGAGAAATTCTATAAACTTATAAAAGTTATCATAAATTTACTTGGACTTTTAAATCAGTGGTGTATATTATTATTGTGGGATTAAATTATGAATATCAACTTTTAATTATAATTTATAAGTAGTTTTTTAAAAATTTTAATTTAAGTTTGTTGCCTTGTTTATAAAAAGAACTTCTCAAACAAATCATTAATTGAATATATTAGCAACTCTCTATCTTTGATTTCCTCTATCAATGACACACGCATATCATATCAAAGTATAAATCCTTCTCTATAGTTTGAAGAATACTTGCATAGATCCAACGTCATTTTAAAAAAATTAATCAAGATAAGAATTTAATAGTATTACAAAAATTATTTAAGAGAATAGTTTTAATCTATTTTATTTATGAAAAAAAATGATGAAAAATTATTTGAATTGTACTTGAAGAAATATAACAAATGATAGTTTTAATCATTATATACCAAAAAAAAAAATTATATCTGTGGAAAAAAATGGTCGAATACAAATAAAATCATGGACATTGAATTAAATCATATGGGCTCTAAATTGATAGTATAATATAACAAATCAACTAAAATAACATAGAGATATTAACAAACATGTACTACTTCCTTATTATCTTTGTATTATATTCATTAATTTCATATATTAAATGAAAGTTTTATTCGTCTTGATAAGGACCAAGAAAACAAATTTGATAAGAAATTGATTCTAAACTTAATTATTGAAAAAACAAAAATTTCAAAGATAGAATTTAGAGATGGGATTGGAGAAATACTATAACGAATGACAGCCTTAAAAAAAAAAAATGATCTACTGCAATTTATTTTTAATAACTAATAAAAGAATATCAAATTATTATCTTTTATAAATATAGTGAAGAAAATTAATTTTGTGAGATTTTTGTGCTGCCTTTTCCCATGTAGCCTTTATTATTTCATTATTAATACTCTTCTCATTTAGAGCGAACCAATTTCATTATTAATACTTTTCTCATTCAGAGTCAATAATTTTTTTTTTTTTATTTTTTTTATCTTTATCACTTGGTAGATAATAACGAATAAATAATATTTTTCTAATCCGTTTGGTAAAGGTGAATTTAAATATATATATATATATATATATATGTTCGACCAAAGGAGGTTAGTGCACTATTTTTTTGGCAGAATTTCTACGATGGTTAGATGTGACTCTCGATTTTATATGATTTTCGGAAACAAAGGAATTCTTTCTCTAAATCATCAATGGAGTCTATTTTGGATCAGTTTGATGCTTGGAGTTCTACCCATGGGGACCGGCTAGCACACTAGAATCGGTACCCAACATCCTTTTCTTCTTTTGGATGGTTTTTGGCAACCAAAGGGTTAAACAATGCATTTTTTTTTCTATCTTTGTATAGCAGTATCTTCTTCAGTTTTTTCAGCATTTTTTGATTCTTCATGTGTTTTTTTAAAGTTGATTTTATAAATTTAATCTCTGCTATTGAGCCATTAAATCAAGATGGACCAACCCGTAGTAAGTGGCATTTAGAGCATGCTTTGGTGAGGACTTGGTTGATTAATTCCATGCAACCATCAACTATCAACAATACCTGAGTATTATGCTGAGCTGAGTACTTTGTGGTGGGAGTTTGATTATTATGATATTATCAGAGTTTTCAAGTTGTCTTTAAAATTAATTGTTTAATTTTTATCTTTATCTGTAGACTATAAAATTAATTTTTAGTTTTTATATGTTTATCTATATGGAGAAATTTTAAAATTCAAATCTTTATCCATAAGCAATGAAATTAATTTTAATTATAATTAATCAAACAAATAGAAAATGAAGAAAAATAGAAATATGAAAGGCAGTCAAAGTAGGTTGCCACGTAGGAAAGAGAGAGTTTCAAAATTATGAGAATTTAGGAATAAATATTTGGAGATTTTTAACAAAACAACTACATTTAGTTATATATATAGTATAGATAGGGTCATTCATATACAAGTCTCATTTTGTGAACTTATAATCCATTAAATCCTAGATAAAATTATTTGCTCCTTCAAGTCCCATTAATTTTTAATAGACCAATTCACCCTTCTAACAAACTCCAGGCAAGCTGTCTCGATGTCGCCACCCCTCTCCCTTCCGTCCTCAAGTCCTACATCGATATCCTCGACGAAGCTCCATTATTGGAAATTCAGCTCCGCCATTAGAACCACTGCCTCCTTCCCCTACTCAGATATGCGATGTCGTCGTCGTCGTCGATGAAAATGAAGAACTCAAATTTGCAAGTGGCTCACGCGTGAGGTTGAGGTTGTTGTTGATTTGTCTCTGAACAGATCTACCTCTCTCCATCGTTGCCGATCTGCCTCGTCACCGCCTGAAATTCAACGTCTCTGGGAGGGTTGGGTGAAGAATTGCGTGGATTTGCGACTGTTGCTTATGAGAGTCCATCGGAAAATAAGGACTTAGAGCTGGCGTCGAAGGCTCGTCCGGAAGGCGATGAGTCCATTGATTGTGAAGTCTCGGTTTTCACTGAGTTCACAGATACCACTGCCATTAGAGAGAGAGAGAGAAAGAGAGAGAGATCTATGGTTTTTTTGAAATTGAGAACCTTCTCAGTTTATAATATGCTCAATTTTAATCATGAAAAAAATTGAGAAATTTCTCAAAATTGATAATTATAAATTTCTTAGTTTTGATAATATTCTTAGTTCATACTAGAAAAAAATTGAGAAATTTTTTAGTTTTGATAATTATGAATTGAAAACATTCTCAGTTTTGAAATTGAGAATATTCCCAGTTTTGGGATTAAAGGACAAAACGTCTTTTTACCTATGAATGGAACTTATTGGTTCAAAATTTTTTTGACAAGACCTAAGCTACCACCAAATATGTAGATAAGACTTTTTGGTAATTAATCCTAAATTATATTTGTCAACTTATTAACTACCCATTGTCTATTTTGTAAAAGTTAAAAAATATGTCCACTTAGGCATAACATTATACTTTCTCCTATGCCATAATTCACAAATACAAAAGAATAAGAGTTGGCTTGAGGATTTATAGTTATGATAGATATTAAAACTGACATAATCTAATTGACTCAACATTTATCTCAATTTCTCCATGACCTAGTAATTAGAGAATTGTCTTAATTTATGCCTAAACATGAACTACTTAACTCATTTATTTATTAAATTAGTGAATAAATATATATTAGTATTTTTTATAATAAAATAATAAATATGTATATGTTTATGCATAGTTATTAAAAAAATTAAAACTTTGATAAAATTTTATATTTATATTTAAAATTATTCAGTATTTATGGATGTGGTAGACACTAAAAGTGACTTAATTTAATTAACTCAACATTTATCTTAACTTGGCCTTGATATAATTATTAGAAAATTGTCTTAATCTATACTTAAGTATGAACTACTTAACTTATTTATTTATTAAATTGGTGAATAAATATATGTTAGTATTTTTTTATAATAAAATATGTAAGAATTGACTTAAGGATTTATAGTTGTGCTAAACTCTTACAGTGACACAATCTAATTAACTCAACATTTATCTCAACTTCGCCATGACCTAACCTAATCATTAGATAATTGTCTTAGTCTATACCTACACATGAACTACTTAACTCATTTATTTATTAAATTGGTACATAAATATATATTAGTATTGATTATAATAAAATAATAACTATGTACATGTTTATGCATAGTTATTGAAAAAATTAAAACTTTGATAAAACTTTATATTTAGATTTAAAATTATTGAAGATTTATAGTTGTGCTAAACACTAAAAGTGACATAATTTAATTGACTCAACATTTATCTCAACTTGGCCATGACCTAATTATTAGAGAATTATCTTAATCTATACTAAACATGAACGACTTAACTCATTTATTTATTAAATTATTAAATATATATATATATATATATATATATCATTTTGATCTTTAAATTATGAAAGTGTACAAATGAATCCCTAAATTATTAACAAAAAAGGGTTTTTACACCACGCAATGCACGCCGTAAAAATCCTTCTACGACATGTAGCTCGCGTCATATTATGACCAGTCATGGAAAGTCGTTCACTTTTAACGGCATGCTTCGTACGCCGTTAAAAACTATTTAACGACAGATTTTGTGCGTCGTCGTTACTTTTTCTATGACATGCTATAATATGCTATTAAAAACTATTTAAAGGCAGATTTTGTGTGTCGTTACTTTTTCTATGCCTACTTTTGCACGCCGTTAATTGGCAAGACAAATAATGACGCTGATTGCGCGCCGTAAAATATGTAATACAATGTCTAATTATGCCTGCCGTAGAATATGCAATTTTTTTTTAATTTTTAAATTCAGCATGTTACAATCTAACAAATATTACAAACAAGTATCACAAAACATCAATCAACCACAAAAATATTGTTTGAAACATCAAAAAGAAACTATATCCATAAATTATAAACATTCAACAATTGTCTATACATTCCAAACATTTGAAACTATATCCTTAAATTCTAAATTGTGCAAAAAGTTTAAACCATCCAAAACTATGCATATCTAACTTTCTAAACATATCGACAATTATTAATAGATTATCTAAAACTATCAACAACAGTTCCTATAGCAGTTGTAGCTGCAGCTATAGCAAATCAACTTGCTCCTATCATAGGGGCGAGGGTACCCAATGTATGTGTTAAGGCACCTAAACCCGCAACAATAGTTGGAGCAACTAACCCTGTTGCATTTCTTGTCCGCATGGCAAAGGACACTTCACATAAGTACAAAAACTAACGAATCAGGGAGAAAAGTATTTCTTGAGATATTAAGAAATGATCAAGAAATTTTAAAACATCAACAAAACATTTCCAAAATTAATAAGATAATTTAATGGTTCCATAAAAGCAATGTCATAATGAAAAATAAGCAAAAATTCAAGATCTCAATAGTCTCAACGTATATGTAAATAAAATCCACATAAAGCAAAACCTTTTTTTTTCATACCTCTAATGAAGTTGCCTTTAATGAAATTGCCTCTTTTGTTGCAATTTTTCTAGAGGGAAATGAGTAGGAATCTGCAAACAAACCATTAAGTTTGTATAGGAAAATATAGTTTGGTACTAAAATTTAGGCCATAAGAAGCTCAAGAGAAAAATTAAATTTAAAAAGAGGAAGAAGTGGAATTAATCTACTTCAATGCAACACCTACTTAGGACTTGCATAATTATCTTAAAGGATCTCCATGTAAGAGGTTTAGATTTATATAGGTCTTATCCATTACCATTGTAAGTTCCAAAATAAAGAGTCCAAGTCAAATTAGAGTCTATATTATTTACAAGTTTAAAAAGAAACTTTCAATCCATTATAGAAGAAATTTAGATAAGTTTTAGTAGCTTGAGGCGCTTTTTGGGACAATGTGATGTAATTCTACCTGAGTACTTAGTAGCAAATACATCAGATAAAGAACTATAGAAACTATAGCAAATACATGAGATTATTATTTGTAGCTTATCTACAGATCAGTTGGTAAGAAAAATATCAACAAATACGCCACGAGAGAAGCAAACATGTTTTATTATTTTATTTATTTTTTTACAAAAAAACATGTTATGTTGAATGAATGTGTAATGAATAAGAACAATAATAACAATAATTAAAGAAATGAAGATAAGAAGAAATGTTCTAGATTATTTTTTAGGTATCATGGTTCATACAATGTGGAATGCGCAAGACATGCACAGGCATCAAGTAAATCCAGCTTACACAGACATCAATGACATGGCGAGATTAAAGCTTACAGGTATTAGCTTGTGTGGAAATTGAATACCATCAGTGCCTATGAATGCTCCTCCATTAATCCTCTCATCTTGTAGTGCTTCCCCTGCAACCATAAGATACCAAAGCTAATGATACTCTAACAAGGCAACCTAGATAAAATCGGGAAAATAAATCCTAAAAACAATACATATTTATAATATAAATGAATATTTTTTGGCGAGAAATCTATACCCGAAAAAAAAAAAAAAAAATTGTTCATTTACCCTTTTCTTGACGTGTAAAAAGCTGCAAATGTTTATAAATGATTCAAGACATAGTTTTATGGTTGAGAATTGAGATGGATTAATACTATCATTGTAGATTTTTCCTTAGGAAACATTTTTTATCAACTATTTTAAAAACCCACTTATTAGGCATCAGCATCTCATATAAAATCTCAATAATCAAGCATGTCAAGTACAGGAATTAACAGTAGTACATGGAAAAGAAGTTCATCAACTAACCTGTAGTTCTTGTAGATCTCGGGTGCAATTAAAAGGAACTGAACATCTCTAATACTCATATTACCGATTGTCTTTCTTCCACCACTTTCAACCACTGGTACCTCCACCAACTCCCTTTTATCTCATCAATTTAAATGCCTGCAAAACTGTTTCATCCTCATAGACCTGCAAAACAAGATGAAACCATTGAAGGAAATTACTAAATCACAAAACATAGAGCCAAAACTGCGTTTTTTTTTTTCTTTTTTTTTTAAGGTAAGTAAGTTATAAATTAAAAACAATAACATATACAGGTTTACAAGAGGCATCCCTCAGGCACCACAGAACTAACAACAGACACAGAGAAAAAAACAAAAGGCTCTTTAGCCAGACAACATTGTCATCAAACAAACATAAACTGACACAAAAGACGCAAAAAAGAAAGAAAAACAACACAAAAAAATGCAAACTAAGTCCATTAGGATCAGCAAAAAACAGAGCCCAATAAAAAAACTAGCCCAATTTGCTGCACCAACCAAGCAGATCAGCCACCTCTTACTGGCTGGAAGACAACAACAAACAGTAACAAAACAAAGGCTGGGCAGCATACAGTTCAGAAATACAAGAAGAAAGCAACTGCAGACAGCACCAGAGCATGCACTATAACGAAAACAACACTGCTACAGGGAAGGAAATATAGTAGCAACATCATGGCAGCATGAATCACAGACACAGCTAAGACCACAGTTAGCAGACAGCAGACAGCAGACAGCAGACAATAGGCAGCAGCACCAGCAAAGCCACACAAGTGGAGCCACAGACTCAACAACCAGCAGAGAACCATATACACCCATCCATGGGCAGTATCTACACATGAACTACACAAATTTCAACTCAACAGTAGCAATTCAGCATATACCACAGCCAGCAGAACAACAACCAATAGAAACATAGTCCATCCCAGCAAGCTTCTGCCAAGACCAACCCCAGGACAAATGCAGATGTAAACTTGAACTACAACATATTATAGACCTATGGGGGGGTTGAATAGATACAATAACCTATGTGTAACAACTCAGCAAGGACACACTGACAAATATTCATTACAAACAGACAGCAAGACTGGGTAGAGTAGACCCACAGAAACAAATAGTCCTCAATCACTCAACCCTCAAGATGCAACACACAGCACTCCAAAAAAATTTATGAGGGCTAACCAATCACTCAACCCTCAACAAAAAAAACTCCCTTACAATTAGGACCAGCTTGACAACCTGCAGAAAAGAATTAGATAAACTATATGGCTCACCATCACTCAACCCACAAAAACCTAGCTATAGAGCCTCACCATCTCAACCCTTCTCCCTACAAGAGACCAGCATTGACAACCTGCAAAGAAAATAATGAGCAAGATAATAGGATTATGGATGTCTCACATTACACAACACTCATATATAGGCTCTCAACACTCACTCTCAATAATCTCCATCACAATACTAACTGTGGAGGCTCACAATCACTCAACCCACAACATCCCTAAGTAAGTACCAGCAAAGTCCTGAATACAAAGGGGAAAATGAGGCAGCTCCAAAGGACTGATGTAGGAGACCTGCAAGAGGAAGATCCAAACACACAACAATAGCAGCTCCAAAGGACTGATCCAGGAGACCTGCAAGAGGAAGATCCAAACACACAACAATATATATAGAGACACTGGAAGTAAGAGTACATACAACTCAAAGAGCATATGCCCTCAACACTATATGAGGAAGATGCCATGAGTCCATAAACCAATCATTATCCCCATCCTCCTTGAAGTTGTTAACAGATAAGAGCCTGCACCTAACCAGAGATTCAACTTTTCTCACAACCACATTAGCAGGAGTACCAACAGGTGAGAAGATCCTAGCATTTCTCTCCCGCCAGATACAGTAAATAGTACAAGTAAGCATTAATTTCTTAGTATTAGTGGACAAAGAATGACCAGAGAATTGCTCAGATAACCAGTCCACACAACTGCCCCAGTTCATAGCTTGCCAATGCATATTACATTTATGTAACGGAGGGGCCCAGCACACTAGAAGAAAAGGAACAATTGAAAAATAAACAGTTTAGCAGCACCAAACCATACAGCAGCAGTTTACCAGTAGCAGCAACAATACAGTAGCAGTAGCACCTCTTTATAAGCACCAAAACCAGTGAGCAAACAACAGCTGCAACTGCACCTCTCCGATGGGAACTAATTAAGAGCAACTAGAAATAGAAAGGAAGAAAACAGAACAACAAAACCAGCAGCAACTCAACTCCTCTGTGTCACAACTTTCTAACAAACTCATATATTTCTTTTCTTATATATGTCATAATGTAAAAACCATGATAAGTTTATTATTGATCAATAAAATAGCAATTTCACACACAATAAAATATACCTTGCTAGGGATAATAGCAGTAATCAAACCAGGACTCTAGTAAGAAAATTTAATTAAGGAGATAAGTAGCAGCATTGGCAAATAAATCACATACTTACGCTGAGCCAAAAGCCTAACCAACAATGGAACAACCAAAAACTTGGAGTGCTAAAAACTAGTCATTAAATGCCTTTTATTTCCCAATGATGCACATATTGTCTTTACGGATTCAAGGACATATCTAATCACCACAAGAAATTCAAAAAGCCAGCACAAACTCACTTTAGGAGAAATTATTGTCATTCCTTAACACAAGCACAGATTCACTTACAACAAAAACAAAGAAAGAAGTCATTTTTATCCATAAAAAGGCAATTACTTATACATATCTTTGTTTCATTTCAAAAGGGGGGCTGGACAGGGGACAACTTCCATAAAACAAATCAATTATTCATAACATGTCATTGTAACCAAGACATCAATGAGAACAAGAGTAAGTCCAACTAATTGTGGAGAATGTGAAGAAGTATATCTAAAAGCACGATCTAATTACCTTAGTTCACCATATTCAATCAATTTTACACCATCAAATAGATACTGCTCGTCTTCTATATCATCTCTGAAATTACCAAGACATGGATGCAAAATTAAAACCGATAAAAAAACACATAAGACAAAATCTTTTTATGAAAGTTTTACAAGTTACTATCACTACTGTCTATATAAACACATCTACAAGTAGAACAGAAACTGAAACATAAAGAATATAAAACTAAGATGTGACATCCTATCATACCTAAGCTCCTTCAATTTCTTTTGCTCCATTTTCTTCAAATACTCTTGCCTTGAAACTTTCCTGAAACAAGAGAATGGAAGAAAAATAAGCATAGGCTTTGGTAGGTGACATAGACACACCACCTAAGAAGCACGGACACTTCTAAGAAGGTGACGTATCCGTGTCGTATCCGTGTCGGACACCGACACTCTTTGGATACTCTTTGGACACGTGTCCGATACTCTTCAAAACGTGTCCTATTTTTTAAATATTTTTAAAGACCCGGACACTCTTTGGACACTTGGAGGACACACGTGTCAATTGTTTAAACACATGTGTCTATTGATTATAGATATGTAAAACTAATTATAAGTTTGAACAAAACAATTTAAGATACAATAATAAAACAAAAACCATATAAATTTATAGGAAATAGTGCTATATTGCATTTTTTATTATCTTTGAATGATATATTCATATATATAACATATAATAAATATATAAAATTATATATTTCATGCGTGTCCTCCATGTGTCCTCCATGTGTCGTGTCCTGCATTTTTTTAAAATTAACGTGCCGGCGTGTCCGTGTCGTATTCGTGTCGTGTCACGTGTCCGTGTCCATGCTTCTTAGCACACCACCAAGTTCAAACAAATACAACAAAGAGGCAAAGAAGGGAATATTGCAAAAAAGGGTTTAGTCACATAGTATGTTAACATTATTGAGGTGGTGTGCCAGAGCAATCACATTAAAGAAAAAATCCAAATAGTTTATTTGCATTGTATATTGCACTGAAATCATAAAGAATGGAGAAGAGAATGAATTAGAGAGACTAGAAATCAACCCGCACATTCAATGTTTTCCACACAACGAATAAGAAAACAACCAAGAATTGCAAACCAAAGCATATTAATCAGCAAAAATGAGTACCTCGTCCTTACGAGAACCAGTTAAAGTACCACATCGATCTGCAAAAGAAGAAGAAAAAAAGACAGTTTACACTAATGATGTCCAATAAGAAAGTAAATTCACAAATGTATATATATAATCAAACAAATCAAAATCACTAATAACAAAACAAAATTAAACAAACATTGACAACAACAATAGATTTGATCAATTTCCTCACTATTAAAAACCCTAGAAATCAAGATATTTTATCAAATTCGTCACTGTCAAAAACCCTAGAAATCAAATCCTAGCATCATATACTAGCCGAAATCAAAGCGCATAGATAATTGACAAAGTATCTTTTTGTTTGGACCCTGCATCAGATATAAACTTCTCGGTAGTTGAATATACACAGATGAAACAATGGAAATATATCAGAACTCAAAAACGTAACCTTGCTTAGTGCAAGTGTAAAGCAGTTTTTTGCTGAAGGTAGGTCTCCTTTTTTCCAAATGCAGTTAGCAGAGCCAAGCATCTGCCAGAGATGGATTCAACTTCACCTGGAATAACATCAGCCAATTTCAAAACGTAACCCTCAGCCTGAGCAGTGCAGCACATAAAACAATCAGGATTGAAACTTTTTTTTTCTGACTTACAGCTTTTGAAAGGTGGTCTTCTGCTTCTTTTTTGTAATCAGGAAATACATCTAATATCTTTCCCCTCAAATATTCATGTGTTACCTGTCGTGTTTGTTATTGGTTTTGCTTATTGTTTTTTTTTTGGTTTTTTTTTTTTTTTTTTTGGGTGTGGGCCATTTATCAATTGCTAATATTTTAGTCATTGTTCATGGTTGGTTTAGTGTATTTCTACTGGGCTGTGGCTCACCCTATATGGGAAAACTACTCAGATTTGGTAGCAACGACACACACATACACACACAAAGAAAGAAAGAGAAAGAAAGATTAAGATAATGGAGAGAGATTATGAGAAAAAATAAAAACTTTATCAAAAAAAGTTCACACCAATCTTCAAAATAATCAAAAACACCTTCAGTGATAAATTTATCATTGATATATTTAGTGATAATTTTCCCTGAACATTTCCTTGATAAATTTATCACTAGATGATTTATAAAAAATTACATATGCCAATTTTTTTTGATTAAATTAGTCATACACACTTACTCACAAGACACCTCCTCTTATACACATACAGAACAGGATAAACTGATAAATTTATCACGTGGTGGGGGGTGGGTGTTGGCTGGTGGTGGCGGAAGACGGTGGTGGAAAATAGTGGTGGGTGGTGGCTAGTGTTGGGTGGTAAAAAAAAAACTCAAAACTCAAAATGAAAACATATTTTTTGAGTTTTTATTTTTTGGCCAAATTTATAAATTAAGATCACTGATTTATAAATCAAAAATTTTACCAAACAAAATTTTATTTAAATTTTTAAAATTTTTATAAATATAAATAAAAAATTAAAAATATAAGTGTTACCAAACGGTACGTGCAACTTTCACAAAGTTACAATTACAATTGGTTAAAGTTTAAATTTTCATAATATTTTGTCCGTTCACCATCAATCATATTGTTAGTAGTACGGGTAAAAAATGGTGATGTGATACGTTTTATACTGATATTTACATTTGATCTATAATTAGGCATGTGTCTATATATTGCCTACATTAATTACGCTTACTTTATTTTTACTACAAAAGAAATTAACGTTAAGAGTGAGCGGTAGATATATTGATCCGTTAAAATTGATTAAATCGAACGGATCCGTCGCATTTTAGACAGATGCGTGATGACGAGCGGACGATTACGGATTGATTTTCTTCAATCCGCTAATTTGGCAAACGGATGGCGGATTTGATATTCTTTTTACCGCAACCGAACCGCCAAACCGCGAGCACCCTTAATAATTTATAAGACTTTGTATTTTCAGTTTGTTTAAATATTCTGTTTATGTTTTCAATTAAAAAAGAGTTTAAATATTCTGTTGAAAAAAAGTTTTCAACTTGAATATCTTTTTTGAATTGAAAAAAATAAATGTATTATTTATCTATATTTTTTGATTTTTAAATCTATTTCTAAAAATAATAAATAGAAAATATGATATATGCTGGTTGGTTTTTGTTTTCAAAAACAGATATAGATATGACAATACAGAGACATACAATCTCTACTACTACTCTGTTCATGATTTTGGTAGTTTGAATTATTTTTATATTTTAAGAACCACAAATTGTAATACATTATGTGGATGAAACATGCTGTGATTGTAGTATGTGGATAAAGTATGCAGTGATTGTGATATTCTAAAGTTTCTAACTTTCTTGTTTTGGATGAGGTATGCAATGATTATAATATTTTTTTAAGTTATTGACTGTAATACTTTTTTCTTCTTTTTTTGAGGAAGTGCACAAGTTGAATTATGTTGAAAATTTATAAATTTTAAACCGCCAAATCGATTCCCATCCATTCGCCAAACCGCCAAACCGCTCAATCCACATCCGCCGGATTGGCGGACGGATGCGAATTGATTTTCTCCAATCCGTCAATCTGGCGGACGGATGGCGGATTGGAGGTTCCGTGGCCGCAATCGACCCGCACCCATCCCTAGTGTGTACCGTTCCTTATCTCCTTCCCTGTGCCCGACGCTATTAAGTGGAGTTGTATTGGCGATGGATGCCCTTTGAACCATTGTCGGATGATTAGAATCTATTAGAAGCCCAATGTATATATTTTTTTCCTAATTTGTTTTTTGTTTTTTGTTTTTTTGGTGTATTGGCGGCGCTTCTTTGTTTTTGATCATACAATTTATGACATACATTGTCTGTCGTAAAAATTGTAATACTTTTAATGACAGACATTGTGTGCGTCGTAAAAAAGAAATACTTTTAATGACCGGCATTGTGTGCGCCGTGAAAAGTATTCACTTTTCACAGTTGGCGTATGTGCGTCGTGCATAATTGATGTATTAACGTCATGCCATATGCACGTCGTAGAAAGTTTTATTATTTACAACGTTCATTGCAAGTCGTAAAAAAATCATCGTTATTATCATTCATGGCCTACGCAATAGACATGCCATAGTTGGAAAAGTATTTACGACGTGCAAAAAAAACAAGTCGTAAAAGTGAGAAACTATGACGTGCATTTATTGTATGCCGTTGATGTGGTGCCGTAAAAAGTCAGTTTTGTTGTAGTGTAGACAGTAAAAGTGAAATAATCTAATTGACTCAATATTTATTTCAACTTGGCCGTGACTTAATCATTAGAGAATTATCTTAATTTATGACTAAACATGAACCACTTAACTCATATATTTATTAAATTGGTGAATAAATATATGTTAGTATTTTTTATAATAAAATAATAAATATGTACACATTTATGCATAGTTATTAAAAAAATGAAAATTTGGATAAATTTTTTATTTATATTTAAAATTATTGAGAAT